CTGGGGAATTCCTGGAGTTGAAGTCCACCCACCTTCAAGTTGCTAAGGTTGAGGAACCCTGATTTATAGTATAGCATCGGAGAAGTAGGATAATTTTTATCGGTGTAGCAGGAAAAAAAAATCAAGCGGTGACATTCAGCAGGACAAGGCCAGGAACAACGACGAGGTGGTTGAGCCCTGAGCATTTTGAGCAGCAAGCCAGAGTCACGCCCCGCCGCGACGTTTCAGCCTGACTCTGGTTTTTACAGATTCATCTGAAAGGATGTGTCACTTTCTCTCTGCAGGACACTGACTTAGTGCCAAGTGACATAGCCGCCGGCCTGACCCTGCTGCACCAGGAGCAAGATAAGGTGGAAAGTTCAAGAGACCTCGATGAAGTTCTGACTCAGTCCCCGTCGTCTCCTGCAGTAAGTCTCTTGGACCCATTCGGGCAGGTATGCGCGGGTGCAATTTTGTACGTGCACACGCCATCCCTTGCAGCTGCCTTTTCTGTGTCGCATGACTAAGTATTCCGGGGAGAACGAAGCATGTTTTCCTGTTGCACTTGGGAATTGTGTTAATCCATGAATTGTAAACCGCCCAGCATCCCCTCTGGGGGAGATGAGCAGCATATAAATTTAATGATAAATAAAAATAAAATAAAATAATCCCGATTGAAGCAAATGTAGCAAAGGGCCTTAAACATTTGCGAGCCCTAAGGGCCTTAAACATTTGCTTGAAGCCCACCCATCTTAAACTTGCAAAGGTTGGAAAACGTGGATTTATAGATTCCTGTGGCGACTCTGGTTCAGTCCACTTTTTCAAGAAGGCTACGGTTCAGAGAAGATGGAGGGTGATGGGACGTTCCCAACAAAGTCTGTTTTCATTGCCGCTACATTCATTGCTTCGTTGCCATGTTACATTTATCGTGTAAATTCCCAAATTCCATTTATATTTACATCCCAGTTTTCCTCCAGGACTTTAAGGAGGCTTACCGGGAAATTGCACTCCAGTTTTATTCCCTCAACAGCAACCCTGTGACGTAGGTTGGACTCAGAGCAAGTGATTGGCCCAAAGTCCCCCAAAGTCCATGGCCAAGGGTGGGCTAGAATCAGGACTTCCTGTTCCTGGTCTGACACCTTCGCCACAAGACCACCTTGGTTCTTGGACTGAGAAGGAGGGACTGGCCAGAGATCCCCTGGGGCTTCTGTGGCTGAGAGGAGACTTAAACCTGAGCCAGGAGAGCGGTTTCAGCTGTTGTTCAAGTCCAGCTTTCTCCAACTGGGTGTTTTCCAGATGTTTGGACTATAGAGCCCATCCCCTGTTGTTTTGCTTCCTGCTGCAATGACTGGCTGATGCAATTTGTCGCTGGTCCCTTTCACAGGTGAACGATTTGGAGGTTGAATTAGAAAACGCTGCTCATTATATGAAGTTTGCTGCAGCTGCCTATGGCTGGCCCTACTATCTCATGACAAAGCCTTTCACGGGTCTCTGTAAACTGAAAGGGTTTTGGTAGGTCAACTTAACGTTTTTAAAAAGCATTTAAAAAAGGTGTGGTTTTTACAATGCCGTGTATTAACCGCAGGGCTGCATGCAGAAACCGGTCGTCCAAGATGTAGAACTGGATAACTGGGGAGATTCAGTGGGTGAAACGTAACCTGAATCGTAGAATCCTTAATTTCAAATTAGGTTTTTTCAAATTTCAAATCTCAATTTTTAAAATTTAAAATATCAATCTTTTCAACATTTTAATTTCAAATTAGGTTTTTTCAGATTTCAAATCTCAATTTTTAAAATTTAAAATATCAATCTTTTCAACATTTTAATTTCAAATTAGGTTTTTTCAGATTTCAAATCTCAATTTTTAAAATTTAAAATATCAATCTTTTCAACATTTTAATTTCAAATTAGGTTTTTTCAGATTTCAAATCTCAATTTTTAAAATTTAAAATATCAATCTTTTCAACATTTTAATTTCAAATTAGGTTTTTTCAGATTTCAAATCTCAATTTTTAAAATTTAAAATATCAATCTTTTCAACATTTTAATTTCAAATTAGGTTTTTTCAAATGTCAAATCTTAATTTTTAAAATTTAAAATGTTAATCTTTTCAAAATTTTAATTTAAAATTAGGTTTCTTAAAACTAACTTTTGGTTTTTCTGTACCCTAAAAAGCCTGAAAATATCCTCCGTGCTGCTTGCATAAATAACCCCATCACACTCTTGCATCATTACTAATATTATATTAATATAATTAACGATAACATGATTATAATTTAATAATAATTCCATGTTATTAGCACAGATTTAGGCTGATAAAATACCATCTGTAGTTTCTTAGAAAATACAAAGAATCTAATTTAAAACCAGACATGGGAAAAAAAGAAGAGAAGGAAGGCAGGAATGATCAAGAGAAGAATATCAGAATAGTTCATTATGTATATACAAAATTGGAGCAGAACATCAAAACCAAGAGCCAGAGCCAAAGAATGAGATAATCTGCTGCATAACCTGCTCAGCAAAATAATTTAAATATGCTTCCATATTAATTTTTTTAAATAATTATTTAATTATCATTAAATTTAATCATCTAAGGCTTTCTAATGCATCCTCGTTTGCTTGAATACCAGTCCTGTTGCACTGAATTTATATTGCATTTAGATTATGTAATGGGAGTGTGGGTTGTAAGACATCTCTGTAGTGTGCAGAAATGCAGCTGTTCTCAACTCTTCACTGTTTTTGGTTTCCTTCCTTCCTTAGTTGTAGAAACAGCCCAACGCAGACGGAGATCATTGGCAACGACTACCTTAACATGAACTTTGGATCCATGTTACAAATAACAGGACTGCAGAACAGAGATTTCATCCACATCAGCTTTCACAATAAAGTAAGCAGTTTGAAGGCGTCTCTGGCAAGCAGCTGAGTCCCTTCTCAATTTTAGCTCTTGGGGCCCAAAAAGAGATTTCTCCGTTGGAGTGGCTTGACCGTGGAGGATGTCCGTGAATTTTTTTGGAAGAGAAAAAGGGCCAACAATAATAACTTTGATCCAAAACGGCTTTGGAAAATTGAAGGCTGCAAGAGTCCCACTGCTACATGTGATAGTAATTAGAAAACACCTTATTTCAAAACACAAAATATCTCCATTGGAACTGGAGATTTCAGTTGGGATCTGTTTAACTGGGGCTCCGTCCCTTAAGATTGAACTGACCTATGGAATCTGTGAGTTGCTGCCATAGATCGTGGGATGGGCAATGCTATAGATGTTTTTTGTAAAAGGACACTTGCCTAGATGAAAGATGGTCCACCTTGGCTGATAGCTCAGAGCCCAGCTTCCATATCTGGAAGCAGTTTTCAGCCTGTGATGGCTGATGGGGTTCTCATTGGACAATAGCTATCACCCTGCTTACATATGATGAGCCGTTGTCAGATGATACCGCTCAGAGCTGAATGCCCTATAAGAAGAGTCCAAGCGTAGGAGAACCCTCCTTTTTATCCTCTGCTGCTTGTGTTTTCAGATTTTCGAGATACCTTTCTTTGTGGCCTTGGATCACCAGAAAGAAGCTATCGTTATAGCTGTGAGAGGAACTTTATCGTTTGAGGTAGTCTTTCTGTGTATGGCTCACGTTGAATAAGGGTTTGCTTATGGAATATTTTCATCTGTCCCTAAGAAAACTACCCTGCTACCCTTGGTTCCTCTTGTGTCTTCCCCTTCTTGACCATTTCATGTTGGTGCTTCCTATTGATGGTTTTAATTAAACATCTTATTTGGAGTCTAAGAGAGATGTACTTGAATTGGGTGGAACAGCCAAGGCCTTCTCAGAACTTGCGCCCTCCAGCCATGCTGAGCTTCAGTTCCATGAACCCGACCAGTGAACCCGACCCGGTACAATGGAGATTATACATAGCTAGAGGGCACCAGATGAGGAACAGGATACTCAAGATGTTTTATGTTGTATTATTGTTGGAACAGTGTTCCAGAAAATGGATGACGGTGGTTTGTCTTCTGTCGTCCGGTTTTTTTAACTCTACGGCTATGTTCATACAGGTCAGGGAACCAAGTTAGTTAGTGGAGAGCCAGTTTGATATAGCGGTTAAGGCATCAGGCTAGAAATCAGGAGACCATGACTTGTAGTCCCACTTTAGGATGTTCTTAGGTCAGTCAGACTCTCAGTCTTAGGAAGAAGGCAGTGGCAAACCACTTCTGAAATCTTGCCAAGAAAACTGCAGGGACTTGTCACCAGGAGTCAACGCTGACTCGAAAGCACTAAAAACAACAAACTAAGTTAGTTAAAGTTCTGGCTTCTGTGTTCATACAACATGCTAAGTTCGGTTAGTGTATACTAAGAATCCAGAAAATAAGTTGATTAGATGAAATTTGCTGGGCGAACCTGGTCGCTAAGAATATGCCTCTTATATTGGCTGTGATAATAATCTTGAATGTGTCTGACAGGCAAGTGAAAATCCATGACCTGTGTTATATTTCTTTTGCATTCAGGACGTCCTAACAGACCTCTCAGCAGAATGTGAAAACCTAACTCTTGAAGATGTCCTAGAAAACGGTCTTGTGCATAAGGTTGGCAAGTATTTTTAGAACTGTTATTGGCCAGATAGTCACAGAAAGACCATTTGGCACGCAGCACCCTCTTGTTTTGATATATCCCACATTCCTGGCCTCAGTTAGGAACCTTAAGCCCACTAATAATCATTATAGGAGCAAATCAATAACACAGAATATTATTAGGGGCAAACCGCTGAACCCAGGAGTTGATAAATCTCTGTCAATTTTGTATTATCCAAGAGTGCCCTCCTACAATGCTCCTCTATAGAAGATTCAATGTAGCTAATCCAGGTGGTTACTGAGAGAGGAACCTCATGAGATAGCTTCAGGACTGGGTGCCACCCTTGAGAAGGGCATGTTATATTGTGCCTACTAACCTTACATCAGTGCCACTCAGTAGCAAAAGGTGGAGTAGTATCTTCATGAACTAGTGGGCTGTACCGGGTAGGGATGATGGGAGCTGTAATTGAGGAAGTTGGCTTCATGACTTGCAGCTGAGGCCTTACAGGCACTACTAACCTCTGTCATTTTACCTTATAGGGGATAACCCAGGCTGCCAATTACATTTATGGAAGACTGATCAACGATGGGATTTTGAACCAAGCGCTTACCATTGCTCCAGTAAGTAATGGCTTTTGGTCTCTGCCTGTCTCTCTAGTGCAACTGTTGAGTTGGACTCCATCTTCTATTGAGATTTCTTTCTTTCTCCTACCTTGTTTTCTCTTCCCCTAGGAATATAAACTCGTTGTTGTTGGCCACAGCTTAGGCGGGGGGAGTGCCTCCATCTTGGCTATCATGCTCAGAAACTCTTTTCCCAACCTAAGATGTTACGCTTTTTCTCCACCTGGGGGTTTGTTAAGGTATGTTGATCCTGTTACTTCTTTTCATGGAGGGACATCAATCCAATGGGGAACAGAACACGGGGCCAGATTGAGCTGGGATTCCCTGGAAGTTCCTGAAGGAAGCCATGGTGGCTTGGATGAATTTTGTTGAGTCAAGATGCTTTCCCAAAAGGTGGAAGTTGGCATTTAAGGACTTCAGCCTAATGTCAGAGTCTATGCAAGTAGTCAGACCTCAGAAACTGTGATGGTGGCCAGCTGATGGAGAGCAAATGTTGGAGAGTGGAAAAAAGTTTGTGGACTCCCCAGCTGTAAAGGAATCTAGAGCTGACCTTGGGGAAGATATGAGAGACCATTAAGGGAGAACTTGGAGAAAAGATTCTTCAGTCCAGGGACAGAAGGAAGTGTGAGAAAGAAAGTAAAAATAACCCCACCTTCATTTTGTTTAGTATAAGATGGGGCAAGAGAGAAACTCGGACAGGCTTTCAAGATTCTGTTAATATACCCTACAATAATAAAATAGCATTCCTGGACAGTCATTTGTCAAGGATGGTATGAAGATTCTTGCATGGGGCAGGGGGTTGGACTAGAAGACCTCCCAGCTCCCTTCAGACCCTATGATTGTATGCTTCCCTAACGTACAATATCTGTTTCTTGAAAGACTGGTATTAACAGATTATCCCAGCAAGAATACAGCTCTCAACAGAGAGAGAGAAAAGTGTCCTGCCTGTAAGAACTGGGTTGACATGAAAATTAGTGTGGTGGGCCATTGTTTTCTTCATTCATCACACATCCTTGTGGAATAAGCAGTCAACAGTGAAAAATAAACTGGTCCAAATAAAGAGTTGCTTCACTTTTAAACCACAGCCCGCCCGCCCTTCCTTCCTTCCTTCCTTCCTTCCTTC